CATATCCCTCTGTTCTTACATGTAGCTATTACATGTAGTCTACATACTATTATTCATCTGTTCCTGAGGAAACAATAATGAATTTCTATTCCTGACTACAGGAATATACTCCAGGAATTATATTGAGTGAAAAGGAGAGAACAACATTTAAGAGTGTTATCTGAGAAAGATGCTTTGAAATCTTTCCAACTGTCATCCCAATCCTCTCCTGCAGCCTAGTGATGACACTCTTTTCAGATGAGCAATAGTAAAAATCTCACAAAAACTCAAGTCAAACACAATTCTGTTTTCTAAGTCTTCGTATATTTTCTAGAAGTCAGGAAGTTTCCAAATTCTCTGATTTCCATGATTCCAGTCCAAAACAGTAATCCTTTCTATCTTACCCTGAAATCACAGGGGTAAGACAATCCATTTTTGTTCTTGGAATATCACAAATCTCATTACAGTCATACAGGGGGTGCAAAATTGTAAGGCAGTGAAGGTGAAAATTTTGCTGGAAGAATTCTGAAAAGTCTTTTAGGAATTATATTACAGTTATCTTCCCCACTGCTTCTAAATCTCTCTGCCCACTTAGCCTCTAACTCCCCACTTTGCGAGTAAAGGTAAAACTGCAGCTTTATTCACCACTGTTTTAGTTAACGTAGAAGATAAAGCCCAATATTCTAAGTAACAAAAGCTGTGGGTATGCATGGGAGCAAATGCTTTGTTAGCAATGGAAAACATAGCTTCTAGGCTCACATATGGATCCAGACACGGGAACACATTGTATTTAATATTAGATAAAATTCTAGTCCCTTTCAAAATTTCAAACCTTGGCTACTCTGTCACCCATGAACTGCAAACCCTCTGCTCCATCTTTCAGTGTGGGCTTTTTACATACCTCATGTTTGTTTATTTCATCTTGTGATGTGACATTTTTGCTTGAAGACAACCGTGAACAAGCATAAAGCTCATCTGCCTCAGAAACATCATCGTTTATGTGTATACCAATTATACTTCCGCTGTAAGTGTACTAATAAAAAGTAAACACAAGAATAATTTTACATTCAGTATATTTTAAATTAAGATTTTCTTTTAGTCTTGGAAAATCTGACTATTTTAACTGGACCATTTCACTTTGCAACTGCATTAGTACTTGTGGTGATGCAAGGGAATGGGTTCCACGGGATGGGAACAATTGGCCAGAGGATGGGAAGTGGTGGCTTACAGAGATTGTGAAATTAGG